TCAGTCCCAACTCCATGGCACATAACAATGACAGTAACCCACTACAGCGTGAGCTAAGAGATTTCTTTGTTTTGTTTTGTTTGGTTCCCCCCTAGATTACTTTGATTCTAGTAAACAATGACAAATCATCCAAATTACTATGTTCATTCTTCTCCCTAAAGTAATTTTCACTTGAAAAAGAAAATGTGCTTTCAATGATTCTGGCTCTAGATTATACATTCAACAGAAATGTACAGAGATGTTCACTAAAAGACTAGTCTATTTGTGATACCCCAAATTGGAAACTATTCAAAAGCTCAAGGCAGAATGGATAAACACATAAGATTGCATTCACTCAGGAGTCCTGGGGTATTACTCTGTTGTGAACCAAAAGGCTGGATGTTCATGTCCATCCAGAGGTACTTCTGAAGAAACTCCTGTTTGATCTACCTAGGAAAAATAAAATAGTGTTCACCCGCTAAACCCTATGGCATACAGTTCTATGCTGACACATGGAGTCCCCGAAACAAAATCAAAGCCTCAGCAATGGGTTTTTATAATCACAAGGTAAAAGATTATATAGCACTGAGCACAAACGCTCTATAAATCATGTAAGATGACAAAATTTCACTAACAATGCTGAGGAAAAGAAGGTAAACACTTCTTTCTGTGTGTGTAGTTTTATGTTGTTGTGTTGTGTTCCACACAGTTGGAATCAACCCATAACTGACCCTCCAGTGAGTTTTCAGAGGTAGTTAATCACATGGGAGGAGACTGTCCATCCATCTCCCGGGAAGCAGCTGGTGGTCTTGAACCACGTGCCTTTGGGGTTGCAGTACAGCTTCTTGCAACTAGGCCACCAGAGTTTTCTTGATATTTAGTACTGCTTCCTGTAATTGGCCTTCCTGCTAACCACTGGTATTTCACAACCTTGTACAAAAATTGTGCAAATCTCTAGAAATTACAAATAGTGTGAGATAGAGACGAAAAATGTCCCCCACTCCTCTTTCAGCAAAGGAGGAACAGAAATCTTACTGTATCGAAGAATGAGAGCTAACACTCTACTTTGACAAAATACTATATAATGAGAAACATTCCGTGTAACTAGATACTCATCAGAATGCCTCTAACATTTCCCAACTAGTATAGGCTAGTGGTGAGAATAAAGGTTCTAGGGCCAGTTTCCTTGATTTCAAGCTTACTTTTCCATATCCTAGAATATGATATTTAACTAGTTAATTAACACATCTATAGCTCGCATTTAAAATGTAGTGGTAATACTTTCCTTGATCTCTAGAAGCTTTTTTGCATTTATATATTTGTTGCTACATAGTGACCCAAAGGTAGCATTACAGAACTATTTAGTGTTATCCATGACTGAATATAATTTCTTGGAAGTCTAGCATTGAAAATCTTCCTGCAAATCATGTGTAAGACCTACACATTGAAAGCTACAAAAGTTTACTAAGACAATGTGGGAAAGATCTAAAAAAAAAAAATATGGAGACTTATGCCAGATTTGTGGATCAACGGAATTACAACTATTATGATGTCATTCTGTGTGACTTTGTTTATATGAAGTTCAAGAGCAGGGGAACTAGTCCATGACATAGACAGGAGGAGAATGGTTACTCCAGAAGCAGTGGGAGCAGGAGCCTCAGAAGGCACCAGGAGGGTTGAAGGGCCTGGTAGTATTTGATGTGGTTGTTTTTAAATGAACATGGCAAAATATATATAACAAAAACTTGGCCACTTTAACAATTTTTAAGTGTACAATTCAGTGGCCTGAACTACAGTCACCATGCGGGGTAACCATCACTGTGATCTAGGCCCTTATAGCTAAGTCTCTTGACCTATCTACAGTAGACATGGTGCGCTCACAGTGAAGATTTACTGAGAAGTCTGGTCACTGCTCTGTTACCGACCAATGAGCAGTCCAACTGTCCTGGCTTGTCTAAACTATCCCCATTGTACACAGAAAGCCTCGTATCCCGGGAAACTTGTCAGTTCTGGGGAAACTGGGACAGGCATTCACCCCGTCAGGGCTGCAGGACACAGCAGCCAGGACACTTTCCTTAGCTCCAATAACCTCAGAGCCAAATGAGATTGAATCCCTGCCAAGAGCCCCTCATGAGCTTATTTTGAGGATTAAACAAGATCCCATGTGAGGATCTGTGTCTGTGGGAGGCCTCTACCACACAGCAGGGGGAAAACACATTGAAGAGTCAACATAAGGCAAGCCCCCTTGATGACTGGAGAGGGACCAGGACAAGCCACAGGAAGTGGGGTCTGAAGAGAGCGAACTGGCCAAGCATCGTGTCCAGAGGTGCAGTGTGAGTACCATCCACGCTACTGGACAGCCTGCTGGTCCTGCCCACCAAGTGAGCTGGTTTCTTTCCACATCAGCTCCCCTTTCTCCTGGAGGGCTGGAGCAGGGGCAGGCAAGGGAAGGTGCTTCTAGTGAGAAGGCTGCTTCTCACACAGCTGCAGCTCTTGGGGACGCCAAAGCTATACGAGTGTCTCTGGGAAGGGAAGATGGGAGGGTACAGGGCCAATGACACATGAGGACACAGTGGTAGGAAAGTCCCTGGTCATGTGGGAAAGGTGCGTGCCCGGACACCACCACACATCATCTAGAGCCTTATAACCTGGCTCCTAAGCCCAGCTGGGAACCAGTCACCTTGAGTCACTTCTCACAACTGAGGCTGTAGGTACCTGGTGCTCAGAAAGCATTCTCAGAGGTTTCCCTGACATGATATATGAGAAAGTCTAACATTTTAAATAATTTTTTAAAAATTGGGTTGCAAAAAAAAAAAAAAAACAAAAAAAAAATTGGGTTGCATACAAAACTCGTATACAGCGTGTTTCATTCATGGACCTTGTGTTTCACACATTCCTTCATTCCCTTTGCCCAGCTTTGTTAGAAGACTGGGGAGGGAGGTAAGGAGAGCAGAGCCATAATTGGCAAGACTGAGAACTTTGTAACATGGGCCTCACACCATGAAACTGTAGGTGGAGGGGCCTGGGAGTACATTTCAGAAGCTGTCCTGAGAGAGTGCATCTTGCTGCCAACCTGAATTTTAGCCTTTTGACTTTCCTAATATGGTTCTGTGTGGTCTGTGAGCTGTCACAACATTTTTGAGCCACAAAAACAGTGAGATTGGTGCTGGGATGAATAGAAAGGGGTCTGGGAGCGCAGGGGAATATGCCGGACCTCATGGAAATTGGCTGTGTGCTGTGGATGTCACTGGAGGAGACAGTTGCTCACCGTAGCATTGGGAGAGGTCACATATGGCCATCCCCATGTGGCCTTTGCTGTTCTTTTTCCACAGCCGATTCCAACATATGGCAACTACATGTGTTTCAGAGTACAAATGCTCTATAAGGTTTTCCTGGTTATACATTACACAGCAGCAGATCATCAGCTCTTTCCTCAAGTGGTGGAATTTAATGGGTTTGAACCACCAATCTTAAGGCTGATAGCCAAGAATGAACTGTGTGTGTCACTCAGGGACCTTCTACTGGCTGGCATGTCACAAAAGGTCTTGAGACCATTGATATGCTAGATTGCCACTGGCAACATTTCAACAACTGACCTGATGACAGGTCACAGTCCACAACTTAAAAGGCACCCTTAAAAAGTTGGTTAGTCTTGCTTTTTCAAGACTCAAGATTGAAATCTTGACATCGTAGATGTCAAATGAGATCAAGAACCAAAAGGAACAAAATTCTTAAGTCTTTCTCTGAATAAATGAGGCATATTCTTCTCCAATATAAATGCAAATTAATTAACATACCATGCAGGCTGTCAAAATTCAGGGCTTATATTAAACGACTTTGCAATTTTTTAAAAAAACACCAAAAAAACCCCACCCAACCTACCAAACAAACCACATTCCTTCATTCACATTGTGTTTCATCCTATCATTCCTATACACTATGTTTTATAAAATTAATCACTATTGCTCTGTGCCCACTATCGTTCCATCTTTTCAGGTCCCCACTAGATCTGTCCTGATTCCTTTACCCCCTCCCTCTGCCCACCAAACCCTGGGACCCTGTGATTTCTCCCCCTCACCACCCCTCAGCTCCCTCCTCCTCTCCTGTTACCCCCTCGGACTTTTATCTACTAAAAAAAATTTTTTTCCATTCATGCATATCAGCGTCTGTGGTGCAACCACCTCTTAACTATAAACTGTTCGCAGGTTGAGAGGTGCTTCTGAAGAGAATGACTGCCTGTAGCCTGGGGCTCTGGGGATAGACTTGGGTAACCCCACCAAGAAGGTTTGTTCTAGAGCCTTGTCACTCCAAGTGTGGGCCTCGGACCAGCACAGGGCAGCCTACAGACTTGTCAGACGTTCTGGAATCCGCCAGAAATGTAGAATCTCACGCCCCAGAGCATCTGACCCTGAACCTTCAATTTAAGGGGGTACACACTGACTCCTGCCTACTTTAATGTTTACTAAACACCGGCCTAGTTTACTGGCCTCCTCTCTTCTCCAGCATTGCTCAATGAAACAGCTTCAGAATTCCCCACCTGATCTGATCTCCCAGTCCTAATCACTGTGTTTCTTGCTTTCTGTTTAACCTCTACATCTTCTCTCTCATCCAAAGTGGCCTAAGGGACAGGACAGGAAACTGGCCCATCCTCTGGGGCTGGAAAATTATCTTTGGAAGACAATAATAATGCTCAGAGGAGATGGGTGCCGGGGCATCCTCACCTCTGCTGGCTCACCACAGGGGGCTCACCCCAGGACTAACACTCCATAACCAAAGGCCCCCTGTGACCAGCACCGGGCAGGGTGGAGCCCAGAGTGGGACCTGGCTGTGTGGGCAACTTCCCCGCAGGAATGTAACACAGGCACAGGAGTGGAGAACTGGCTGGATGCAGGCTGCCCCCTCCTGACCGCAGAGTGAAATTCCCACTGTTACCCACCCTGACCTGTTCTCAAAGCCCTCCTGCAGGACTCTTTGGAACCCTCCTTCCCCACCCTCCCTGCCCGTGCCCCCCAGGGACTCACAGGATATAGCAGATGACTCCAATGCTCCACATGTCCGTGGCATAGCCAATGGGCTCGTAGTTTATCACTTCAGGCGCCACAAACTCCGGGGTGCCAAAGAGGACCTTCAGAGACCCTGCATTCTCTGTAAGCAGGATGGAGAGGGATCAGGGCCCAGAGCATCCTGGAACCAGCCCCCAGTGTGCACCTGGCCTGCCTGTGTGCTGGGCACAGACCAGGGCTGGGTCTTTAAGGGGTTAGTTCCCCCAGTGGATCATGTTTAGAAAGCTGGGCAAAAAATAGGAAGACCCTCAACCAGATGGATTGACACAGTGACTGCAGCAATGAGCTCAAGTGTGTCAGGGTTGGTGAGGATGACACAGGACAGGACAGGGTTCAGGTCTGTTGTTCACAGGATCACTGTGAGTTGTACTCAACTTGATGGCACCCAACAACCACCACCACCACCAGCACTGGGTATACACATTGTGCAGATGCACTGGTGAAGCGAACAAAATACCTGCCTGGAACGTTCAGAGTGAGTTAGGATGCAGGAGAGGCTGGACCCTTGTATTTTGTCATTGTTTTCAATTAGCAATAATCGCGCCTCGGATAAACCTCACTGGCTACGATATTGCCACTGCGCAAAGCTGTATTTTGTCATTGTTAAGCAGCATCCGTGAGTGCTCTTTTTGCCTCTGTGTTTGCCTCGCTGGTGACCTCCTGAGGGCAGGGATGGTGAATTTTTCTGATAAAATCCTCTAACATACACTGACCAAAGGCTGTTTCCTATGTACCACGCCACCTGCTCTAAATGGATTTTCCTATTTAGCATCTCCATGACCCTAACTGGCCTCTGGTGACGTAGCCCAGGGGAGCTGTGCTAACCTAAAGGCCACGTTTCTGGCAGTCTGAATCCACCAGCTGTTCTGAGGGCAAAAGATGGGCAATCTCTGCCTCTGTGACTCATAAACCACTCTGCAAAACCACTGGAGGGTCAGCTATGAGTTGTTTCTTACCAAAAGTGATGAATTTGAGGAGGCTTTTTAAAATGGTCCTAAGATGTAGACCTGGTACCTACCCTGTAAGGAGGGAAATGGGCACAGGGAAGTGAAGTGAGTTTTCACCCGGTTCAAGTAAGTAGTGGGATCAGGACTTGCACACCATGGGGCTGCATCTCCTACTTATCTCCATCAATGTGTCTCCCCTCCCAAGATCTGCCGGGAGGGGGTGTGTGAGGACGTGTGGAAGGCTTCTAATCTCCCCTTCATAGGGCCCAGCTCCAGAGGAGTTTTCCAGCATTGGTGTGCAGACCTCGGCCTGGGGGCCAGATCGGGTCTTGGCTGGATTTTACTGTTCCCACAGCAAATGTTCTAAACCCAAACACTGATCAGCCCATGTGAAGGCTCTGCTTGAACTCTAACCCCTCCTGCAGTATTTTAACCACTTCCTGATTCTCTGGTCCCTGACGGGCACCATCCATCCTGCAACAATCCTTCACCAGTGGAATCTGGACGTTGTGTGTCTTGGGCTGTGATGCTCCTGCGTGAGTTTGCGACGTCTTGAGGCCATGACCTGCCTATCCGTTTGGCTTGTTGGTGGTTATAGTCCCAAGGTGGCCATGCACGCTGGCCCCTGTCCCACTCTATCCCTTTAGTGGGAGATAACAGAGCAGGGGCATTTGCTCCAGGATCAGAGTAAGCTGCTGATCAGCAAAGTCCCCATTCACCAGAACGTCAGTGCCTTCTTTTTACTTTATGATCAGGCCTGTGCATCCCGGGAAATCTATGACATCCTACTGATTTGACTCTGGTTCACAGAACCTCATGTATAATCAGACTGAGATGCTGCCGGGTCCTGCACCTTTATATAATTGTCGGTACCCCTGAGTCCATTGTTGCAGATACTGTGTCAGCCCCTCTTGTGTAAGGTCTTCCTCTACTTCACTAAGTACTGTCATACTGTGTAATGGATCAGTATCAGGCTGCTAACTGTAAGGTCAATGGTTCAAATCAACCAAGCTGCTCCACAAGAGCTATGTGGACAGATTCCTTCCTATAAGGATTTACAGCCTCAGAAACCCAGTGGAGGACTGCTACCGGGCAGAACCGATCAATAGCAGTGGGTCTGGTGGTGGGGTTTTTTGTTTGTTTGTTTGTTTTGCTTCTACTTTATTAAGCATGCTGTTCTTCTTCTCCAGGAACGGCCCCTTTTACTGAGTAGGTGGGTTTAGCCCTGTCAGTCCCTTCACCCCACAGTCCTGGGGGTTCTTGTTATCAGGGCCAGAATCAGGAGGCGGAGGGTAAAGTTGCTTCCTCAGTTAAGGAGACATAAAAGGCTACTTAAGCAGTGTAGCTGAGGGGAGGAATGTGGGGCAGAGCCACTGACAGAATGCCTTCAAGGGTGGGCATGAAGCCCCGACCACCTTTCCCCATCCCCTCTCCTAGTGTAGCGACAGCAGAGCTGCTGTGAGAAGCAAGTGGAATAAAATAAGAGCAAGTGCTCTGGAGACGGTACCAGAGCCCCACGGCTAAACCCAGAGCTGTCCAGCTGATCCCAGCTCATGTGCATCCTCCACCGGGTTCCCCAGACTGCCCGTCCTCCTTCTGTGGAGCAGCTGGTGGATCTGAACCACTGACTTTTTGGTTGGTAACCGGCATATACCACCAGAGCTCTTTCAGAAATAGTACAGTGGGATGCAGATGTGAGAAGTCATTGTCACCAAAATGAACGTGTTTTGCTGCTTTTAAAGACACAAGAGGGGGTGGTGATGAGGGTAGGTAACCAATGGCTGCCTGGTGCTTACGATGTGCGAGACATGGTGTCAGCACTTTACCTCACTTAATGCATTTGATGCTTACAGCAGCTCTATGAGGTGTATTAACTTTTATTCTTATTATAGAGAGAAAACATTTGAGGATCAGGGGCCAAGAAATATATTTAGTTCCACAGTGAGGATGTGGTAGACACAGGATTTGCCTCCTTGAGAGGTCTGTCTCCCTGGTCTCTGAGTGCTAACTTCACTCTCTTACAGGCCATTTGTGGCACACAACACGCCGGGCCCTCACACATGCGTGATAAGGGAGAGGCACGGACTTACCCAGCCTTCTGGCCAGCCCGAAGTCAATGAGCTTGATCCTGGTGCCCGTCTTGTTGACACACATGATGTTCTCGGGCTTGAGGTCCAGGTGGACGATGCCCTGCTTGTGGATGTACTCCACGCCCTCCGAGATCTGCTTCATGTACTTGATGCACTCACGCTCTGTCAGCTCGAAGTCCTCGTCAATGATGCGCTCAAACAGCTCCCCCCCTGACACGCTGCAGAACAGAAGTGGGAAGGGCACAGGCCAGTCAGGCCACAGAGCGGGAGGCTGGGTCGGTCAGGGTGCTAGTGGGCACGTCCAGGGGAGGGGATGACAGACACCATACAACATCCTCTATCCCAGAGCACAGCTCTATTAGGCTGGCTCCAGTCTTCCTTCATGGAAGAGGGTCGCCCCCCGCCCCGTTTCCTGCTGTGGACCCTGCCCTGTGGTGACTCAAAGAAACATCTAAACTGTGATAATATCAGAGGTGGGCATGCACCATGATATGCAGGTGAGATCTTAGCAAAAGATAACTACTAGTCAGTCTTTTTTTCTCCCAAGTGACAGATGCATAAGGGACTATTCTTGTATTCTCGAGTGTCTTTTAGCTCCAGTGAAGCTGAAGTTTAAAATACTCACAGTACTCATAAGCATTTTATTTGCATATTCAGGAAGAGAAATATTAAGAAGCCTCAGCTAAATTTCCTAAATTTAGTTGTCTGTAACCTCCACCGCCTGTCTGCCAGTTCTGTCATGCTGTGGTGGCATGTGTGTGCCAGAAGCCACCAGTATTTCAAATACCAGCAGGGTGGCTGAGGGGGACGGGCTTCAGCAGAGCTTCCAAACTGTTTATTGTCTTTCTTCTGCGGAGTAACTGGCAGATTTGAACTGCTTGCCTTTGGGTTGGCAGTGCAATTTCTTACCACTAAGCCCCCAGAGCTCCCTTACCCTCTGGTTGGGCCAGAAGTATCATGTAGTTTATTCCTTCCAGCCGCAACTAACTTGTCTCATCTCAACCCCTTTCCTAGCCCAGGCTAGAAATAGGTGGTAAGTCTTTTGTGCCTAAACAGACTTTGAATTCTGGCTGTTTCCAATCAGCCCCATGCTTCCAGGGTCCACAGCGAGGCACGCTGTACCCAGGACTGTGCTCCAGGGGCTTGAGCCAGGCAGCATCTTGGTTTCAGTGCAAATGCACATCCCCATAGTCTGGTTGCAAGGTCTCTCTCTGCTCTCTGTCTCATTCCTCCAAACTTCGCTGCTCCCTGGTCAGAAAGTACACAGCATCTCTGATCCCTTGTGCAGCATCTAGACATCATGATCATGACCATGGGCAAGCTCATTTTTCTGCAACAACTTGTAGCCCTTCATTTGACTAAGGATGAGTGGGCTTTATTCTGGGCATGTCCTCTATACAAAGGACCTTGCCTCTCCTCTCACGCTCACTGCTGTTGAGTCAGTTCTGTCATAAATGACCATCTTTTTTTTTTTTAAGCTGTAAATGACAAGGGTGGAGAATGCCCATTTCTCTACTTGGGGACAGCTGGTGGATTTGAACTGCCAGGGAGTCATGGCCTTTGGGTTAGCAGCACAATTCCTTATGGACTATGCCACCAGAGTTCCTTTTGTCTCTCCTAAGAGGAGTTATCATGAAGAGGATAAAGTACTGAGTCTGAATTCCTGTCCCTGACTCTTAAAAGCTGTGTGACCTTGGGAAAGTTTCTTAACCTTTCTGAGCTCCACACCTTATCTACTCCTACCTGATAGAGCTGTCAGAAATAAAGGAACTTATGGCTGGCATATAGCCAGAGTTCTGCAGAGATCAATTATGCTTTAACAATATACGATGGGAGACGTGGATCTTATCTCTGACTGCTGAGGGACAGGTGTCAGGGAAGCACCATGGTGACCAGCACACTGCAGCCTCTCTCTGCTTCCATCACCATCTCACAAATATGTGATCCAAGAAGGTAAGTCTATACCAGTGGCAGCAGGAGAATGTGGGAACTGACCACAGAACCAATGCAAGAAGGTGTTCTTTAGTGGCCAGCAGGTGGCGCAACTATCCTCAAGACCGTCATTTCTATTTCAGCCACCAAGACCCCAATTCAACTCTCTCCTCGATCTTCTTAGTCTCAGCTGCTTCTTAATATCACTGTGTGTCCAGTTCCTCATCTGTAAAATGATATTAAAACAGTACAACCATATAGGCTTGCTCTAAAGACTGGACACAGGTAATGTGTTTAGAAGAATATCAGAATAATGCTAGCATTACTTTTTCAAAGTAAAATTTTTAAAAATTAAGATGCACTTGGACTGTAGATGAAAATCTATATCCCTAAGTTTCCACTCCATGTCGGATATTTTGATTAAAAAATATCTTAGGAGTGGTCTGAGGATCCTTATTTTTTAATAAGTGCCCTGAATCATACCCCAGGTCATCCTAGTGACCAGATAAATTCAGGGAATATTAGAGAACTCACTCACTATTCCTGGGGGCCAGCTGGAAATTTCTGTTTCCTCAGCTTGTTCATGACTCCTTCAAATGAGATGATCTCCCTGGGCAAATGTCTTTGTACTTTTTCTATTAAATCTTCCTTATTTTCAAGTTGTTTAGGCATATGCCCGGGCAAAGTTTGGCTTAGCTCTTGTTGTTGTTGTGTGCTGCTGAGTCAGAACAGACTCATAACTGACCCTCAGTGGGTTTTCTGAGGCTATTAAGTGCATAGGAGGAGACTGCCCATCCGCTGGACAGCTGGTGGACTCAGAGCAGCCACCTTTGGGATGGAATTACAACTCCTTAGGCCACTGGTGCTCTATGACTCAGGCTCTAGACCCCAAAACCCAAAGCAGTTGATTACCAAGTAGATTCCAACTCACGGTGACCCCCAAGGTGCAGAACAGAACCTGCACCAATGGGGTCTTATCCAGCCAAACTTTTCTTCTAAGGCACCTCTGGGTAAGCTCAAACTGACAACCTTTCAGTCAGGAGTCAACATTCAACTGCCCATGCAATCCAGAACCCCGCTACACCCTAAGTAGAAACTAGCAATATCTATACAACCCAATTGTTCCCTAACATTTGCTTCTGAATTTAAAATACTTGGAAAAAGCAAGTCTTCTCCTCCCCCCACCTCCCACCCACCTTGGGTATAGGTGAAGCATGGAAGCTAAAAATTTGAAGCTTGGAGATGGGGGGCCTGCTGCATTTCTAGAGTTAATCTAGCCAGTTCTGGTTGCAATCTATTAAAATATCTTTAAATTGTATATCAACTATATAGGGCCTTCTGGTGGCAACATCCACAGCGAGGTGCACTGCTAACTCAAAGGTTTCACCTCTCTGGTGGTCTGAATCCAGCAGCGGCTCTGAGGCAGAAAGACGGGCGACCTCTTCCTGTGAGATTTATAGCCTCAGAAACCCAACAGAGGGTCCGTTATGAGTTGGTTCTGAATTGACGGCAATGAGAACTTGTTGTACTTTGAAAAGTTTTCCTATGATTTATATTCTAGAACAGAAGGGGTTACACAAACAAGATTAATGGTTCAGTAGTTTCCCCATCAACTTGCTTGTCACCAGCCCAAAGGATCAAATTTATGCCTGAAGTCCTAGAACAAGGCCAGTCTTCATTTGGCAGCCAGATAGAAGAGTGTTATTTGGGAACTCAAACCCTCTATACCTTGTTTTATGGACACCTTGGAGCTCTGTGGCAGCAGTGGAGAAACGTGATCTCACTCTCAGATGACTCACCCTGAACACATATCCACTTCCCTTTTCAGATCCCACCACCAGTGGAAGGTCCTATACACTCTCAATCGATCGATCAGTCGATCGATGGATCGGACAAGCCCAGGCTCCAGGGCGGGAGCCTGAGGGACTCGCTGTCTTCATGCAGCAATGCTGCTGTAATGGTGGGACTGTCCTGTATCCAGAGGTCAGAAAGTCTGAAGACACACTCATTCTTATTTCTAGGACTGGGGCCTGGAATATATCTTTCTTTTCTTTTATTATCAACCATCAGCCTCTATTTCTCCATCAAACAAAGACAATATAGCATAGCATGCTGTTGAAAATCAACCTGCTCAACTCAGTGGCTAAGCCTGAGAACATTTCAGCTGGAAGGGGCATATGAGTAGAATAGAAATCTGCTCCTTTTTCTCTAGCTCCTATCAAGGGGCAGGATTCTTACCCCAAATGCAGGCTAATTCTCTGGCACCCGTGTATGAAGACTCCTGTCTATGGAGGAGGCATGAGGAGGAGGGATGAAAGCCAGGCCAACTGAAGCCTTCTTACATTTTCTCCCCACATTTTCCATCTGGCTTGCCAACTCTCCATTCCGAGCTAAGTATGGTATTCTGCCCACGGGTGCTGCTGCCCAGCCTCACCCAGGTCTGGCTGCTTCTGACCCTCCTGGCCCCTCTGCACGAACTTGCTCAAGGTTTGATTTCTGAAGAGAGGATATTTCTTTGCATGTCCTCACGAGCCCACAGTAGAGTAAGTGTGGAAAGCTGCAGCCCACAGGAGTTATTTGAGCATCTAATGAGGAAGGCCATAGACTGGACTACATACATATTTCCCGGAAATAAGGAGGAAAGTTTGAATTTAGGACTTAGAACAGAGGTTGGTCCGAGTGCAGTGGAGGCCGCAACTAATTGATCACAGCCAGTTACAGATTTCTTTGTTCTTAGAACAGAGTCTAAAGGACAAGTTAACATTTTCCTCAGTCTTTTATGGTCCCCCGGAATTGTCAATTTTAGATACTTCTTCTCACTGGTGGTGGTTGTTTTTTGAACACCACTGAGTTGGAACTGACTTATAGTTAACCTTCCAGTGGATTTTCAGAGGCAGTAAATTGTATGGACATTAAATCTTCAGGGATGTTGCCAGAAGGGACTAGTCTGTGGAGAAGCCATCATGCTTGGAAGGGTGGAGGGTCAGCCCAGGAGAGGACCCTGGATGAGGTGGATTGACACAAAGACTGTGGCAATGGGGTCAAGTGTGTCAGAGACAGTAAGATTGGACTCAGAATAAGACGAAGTTCAGAGTCAATCAGAAGAAGATTGTCTTTGTGGTCTAGATACATAATGAAACATTAAGGGACTCTGAGGCTGAGAAAATTCATTAAATCTTGATAGGGGATGATCCCCAAGATCAACTGCTGGAAGAAGCAAAGTAAGAATAGTGAGCACAATCTACCTTTGTGTTATGAAAATACAGACAAAGCCAATACAACTGGCTGTCTCTAGTGAGGGCAGCTCAGTACAGGGAGACCAAGGTGTGAAATAAGACTTTCCATTGTGTATTTGTGTGTCATTTTTTATGTCATTGTATCATCTATTTTAAAAGAGATGGAAAAAAAGAAAAGAGACACTTAAAAAATACAGATACTAGGGAGGACGCCTGGCACACAGAAGGCAGCCTGTGCACGCGCGTACGTGGGCCGGTGCTTCTGACGAGGTGGTGGAGGGCGGAATGCAGAGAAAACAGGGGGCTGCTTGGAGGCTACGTGGCTGGATTCCATCTGATCCAGTTCCCTGCCTTTGGACAGCCCCGCAGAGAGGCATTGCTCCAACATACAAGTCAGGCTGGGAGGGGTGTGCTGAGAGACTCAGCACTGGAGCTGGTAGAAACATCATACTCCTCACTCTGGGCTCCAAGTACCGAACCCAACTCCCTGTCTGCACAGAAGTCAGAAAGTGGCTCTGTTCCTCCCCTTCTACTCTAAAGCCACCTATAAGTCAGAATGGCCTCGAATGGAATCACAGAGTCTAGAGAAAAAAGGCAGATGCCAGGGTCAGAAGGATCAGCCTGTGTCATAGCGCTGTACATGGGCTGTCTGCTCAGACTGGTCAGTGCTAGGCCACTTGGTAAGGAAGGGTCTTGCCCATCACTGCCATGTCACAACACTCTATATCACTGAGGCAGAGACGGCTGGTGCAGGACAGAGTCACAGCAGGGGACACACACACACACACACACACACACACACACACACGGCCCCTCAGGTCGGCAGCGCCTGGGCTGAGGGCCACTCACATCTCCAGGACCATGACGATGTTGGCCTTCTCTTCAAAGGCATCCACACACTGGACCAGCTTGGGGTGGTGCAGGCAATTCATGATGCTAATCTCCTGCCGGATGTTCTCTTTCTCCTTTGCCGAATACGCCTTGAAGAATTTCCCTGCCCAGATTTTTCCAGTTTTCTTTTCTACAAGTCGAAACACTTGTCCAAATTTCCCACTGCATGTGGGAGATGAAAGAGAGAAAAGCCAGAGTTAACTCAGCATTCCACTTAAAGAGAGGCTGGCATACTATGAAGGGTGGGCCAAAGCCCATCTACATCTTTTTATAAATAAAGTTTTATTGAAACACAACCACGCCCATTTGTTTAGGCACTGGAGCTAAGCCCATTTGTTTACACTGTTCAAGGCTCCCTGTGTGTCCTGTTCATGGACCGTCAACCCAAAGGTAGGTGGTTCAAGTCCACCAGCAGCTCCACTGGGGAAAGATGGACAATTTCCACCCATGAGATATACAGCTTCTGAAAACCTACTGGGGGGGTCAACTATCTTTCTTCGGCACAATAGTGGACGGTAGGTTTGAAAGAGTTCTTTCATTAACAGCGGAGTGCTTAACCACTGTGCAATCAGGGCTTGGTTAATAGCCCACAAAGCATAAGCTATCGACTATCTAGTCCTGTACAGGGTCCCTGGGTGGTATGAAGGGTAAAGTGATGAGTTACAAATTGAAAAGGTTCAAATTGATGCAAATGCTCATAGGAAGGAAGGACTGGTTATCTACTTCCCAAAATTTGTTCAACAAAACCCCTGTGGGACTTGGTTCTACATGAGTCAAAACTGATGAACAAAATACTTTCCTAACCTAGACCAACCTGCTCTCCATCATGTGTCAGCCTCAGCCAGCACACAGGCCACATCCCCACCCAGACCCTGTTCCATCATGCTACTCTCTGAGGGCCTGTCCTCTCCTCCTTGGCCTGAGGCCTCATTTTGGGCTGAATTTTGGACTTCCCACCTCATGTATGGCTGATTTTTGGACTTCCTGTCCCTGCCCTGCAGAGGTGAGATGAAGTAATCAGCCTTAGGTGCAGAGGAGGGCTGCGTGGTTCTCTGCCCTACGCCCATCTCTCCTCTCCCGTAGCACTGGTCCTGAGGGCAGGCCCTCCCCAGAGGTGGCTTCCCACTGCACTTACGATCCTAGTCTCTCCTCGATGTCGTAGAAGTCAGACACTTTTTGTTCAGTATTAACCGTCACTGACCGGTAATCCACCTCAGGCTCCTTCTCATCTGCAGGGTTAGGGTTTGGGTTAGTGTGAACCATCACACCCCCAGTTCAAAGCCCTCCATCCCACACCTGACCAGAGGACAAATGGCCAGCACTCACCATCATCTGACACCTCCACTTCATCCTTCGGCTCTGGGGGGAGACAAGGAGGGACAGAGAGGACACTGGTGAGCAACACTGCAGGCCACAGAGACCAAAGCGACACCAGGTGCCTTTCCAGGGCCCCCCTGGAATCCAGGCACACGGCCACCAAGCACCGAGGCTGGGCTTCTTGCTGGGTCGGTCCCGCACTGCACCAGGGCCAGCTGCAGACTGGCCTGTACCCCTCACCACACCTCCAACCCCATTCCTTTCTCCCTGACCTCGAAGTCCACTAGAGACACTCTTCGTCACATCTCTGGCAGCGCCTCTGCCTTCCAGAACCCACACACAACTGCAACACTCCCTTTCTGTCCTCGCTTGAAAATCAGCAACTTACAATTTCTTCAACAGTCAAATCTATTTTTTGCATTTGCTAAACATGTCTTCTGGGACTCCTACAGTGCACCGAGTCTCTTCCCAGTTATCGTGGGTACACAAAACATACAGAAGGCAGGATCTTGCTTTCTTTCGTGGAGCCCATAATTTAGTCAGAGAGGTTAAAAAACCCATATGTCCTTGAAAGGTCAACTGCAAAGTGTTATAGAATCAAGCATGGGATATCATGGTATAAATGGAATGGGGAAAAAAAAGAAAATACTGAAAATTGCTAAAATCTAAAGCAATAAGTCTTAGAAAGAGTAATCTTTGAGTCGGGTCTGAACAGAAAAGATGGAACATAATGAGGTAGTGGGACAGCTCTTGTAGTCAAGTGGTAAAGAGTCGTGCTGCCAACCCAAAGGCACGTGGTTCGAATCCACCAGCTGCTCCACAGGAGAAAGATGGACAATCTCTGCCCATGTGCTTTACTGCCTCTGAAAACCTGCTGGATGGTCAGCTGTGAATCAGTTCTGATATGACAACAAAAATAACAACAGGGTAGGAGGTGAAGTTACACCAGTGAAACCAACACAAGTTTGTTTGGTAGAACAAGAAAGACATGAGCATGGACCCCCACCCCCCATTGAGGCAGCTGCAGCTCCACTCCTGAACTCCACGCTTTCCTTTGCCATGATATCAGTTTGTTCCTGGACAACAGGGCTCCTAGGGCTTTGTGGCCTTGGTGAAGTACTTTTCCCTTATGGGTCTCAGTTTCTTCACCCCAAACAGGAAGGTACTGGGCTGATGGTTTTCAGGGCCCTGGACAGCTCCACCTGAGTGCTTTGCACCAAACTGTGTGCTCCTCAGTCAGGATCTGGACTGTGTTCTAGGTGACAGGTGGAGTGAAAGATGATTTCCTGGGGAACCAGAATAAAGATTTGAGAGAAAGCATGTTGTTGTTGATTGCCATCGAGTCGAGCACGACTCATAGCAACCCTATGAACAAAAGACCTAAGCCTTTCTGTAACTATTGTCATTTCTCAAAGTTCTTTGAGTTTTCAGAGGCATGCTCTTTAGGAAGTGGATGCCACTCCTGCTTCCAAACCTGTTTTAACCTGGGAGCTCAACCAAACACTGCCCATGATGGGTAATCAATATGGCATTTGGCACCCCAATGGCACAGAGTTCAGCGTCACAGCCACTGCAGGTTACCTCAGTACAGCAAACTGACAGACCCGTGCTGCAGCACTAAGAAGAATGTTCCTCTAAATTATAAGTACAAAGGCCCTTCAGGAGGTGGTGTTGACTCTAAACAAGAAGCTTAAATAAAAAACAACCAAATATTCCATATGACCCTCAACCGAAATAAGAGACCCCTCTTTCGGAGTAGACCTGTTTCCCTCAATCTCCAAAGTGGAGAGAAGAGGCTTGCCTGAAATACATAGACCCTCTAGGAGGTGGTGTTGAGAGAAAGCTTTATGCTTTTATATTTTATATTTTCTCTTCTATAGAGAAAAAAGTATTTTGTGAATGTACATGTATTTAAGACTTGGAGTCAGGGAAATTTGTTGAAGCTTGTCAGAGAATAAGGCTGAGGAAAGGAATCTTCTCAGGGGAGAGAGAGTGTGGATGAGTCTTCTCTGAAGGAAGAAAGAGTCGGGCAGACAGAGGCAGCCAGGCATTGTCCAGCCAGGAGGTGAGCTGAACTTTGTTGGACTTTGAGGAGGTTTACAAGTTAATTGTAACAAGTGAAGAACAAATTACTGAATACCCAAAACAGTCTGAATATCTAAACAAGAAAAAGCACAATTCTTATACAGTTGCTAAAAGTCCTTGCTGAACAAGAGTTTTGGAGGAGTACATAAGCATGTGGCTGAGAGTGGCCATGACTTAGCATTCTTAAAAACTCTGCTCATAAAGTTCTACAATATTTATTCAAAGACTAATATGCATGGAATGGGGAGGAATATTTTTATCACAGAATGGAAACTGCCACAAAAACATCAAAAAGGATTGATAGACAGGTATTCTTGGTTAGAGTCTCGCTGGGCAAGTATTAGAGGCAGAGTTTCACAGTTAACCACTCTGCCAGGGCCCGGCTGTGCATTTGAGAATGGACAGGTATAAGGTCAAGTTCACAAGGCTAGGTGACAATGATACACTGAGGGGGATCTCACATCAAACATAATAGGGAGCGAATAAGGGAGTCATGTATTCCGGGGAAATGTAATCATCATCCTTTTGGGGTAATAAGTTCAAGGGTTTTTAGTTAAAATTCAGGAGACCAGAGAAATACAGGCAGTTTTTGAAACCATTTCACTGGCCAACAAAGAGCTGTCACCAGAGAGAACGGGCCCTGGCTATAAACAGGTGTTATTACTCCATCCTTGACAAACCTGGCCCAGCTGATCTGATGCCCTTTGAACTCTGGCTGCTGGTATTTAAAGGCCCTGGGTGGAGCTGGGGAAGGCATGGAAGACCATTTGAAAGGAAGGGCCAAGTAAGTAAGACAATAAGAAAAGGTTAGCATTCTCCCATTGGAACGAGGTCTACAAGCAAACACTATTCAAATTCTCTGCCATCAAATTGACTGCAACTCGCAGTGACCCTACAGGATAGAAGAGAACTGTCCCTTGTGGTTCCCAAGGCTGTAAATCTTCACAGAAACAGATTCCTCTAGCTCTCATCTGTGGACTGGGTTTGAACCACCAACCTTTCTGTTTTAGCTGAGTACTTAAGCATGGTGTCACCAAGACTCCTTTAAGCGAAATGATAAAAAAGTAAAATCATCCAGCTGACAAGGGTGAGATTAGGGTCATGGGCTTTTCCTCAACTGAGGCATACAATAACATGAAGGAACTATTGAGTGCTGTACTTTACAGAGAGGGAGGCTGTAAACATACATGGAGCTCATATACCAAGAGGTATTATACAAAAGAATGAGTAGGTTCAATAGATGTTTAGGTTAGTTTAACAACAACAACATTTCAAACAGGGTTTTAAGAGAGGCAAGGGGTGCACACCCATGTCTATCGGGCTTTGTTCACAATAGCAAAGAGGTGGAAACAACCTAAGTGCCCATCAACAAACGAATGGATAGAGAAGCTGTGGTATATTCACACAATGGAATACTATGCTGCATTGAAAAACAAGGAACTCATGCAATATTATTCAAAATAGGTGACCCTGGAGGACATTATGCTGAGTGAAATATCTCAGTCACAAAAGGACAAATACTGCACAGTGCCACTGTTGTAAAACTAGACTGGTATCAGGGTTGGGGAAAGACTGTGAAAGATGGGATAAATAATATATACTGCATTGAAATAGATGAGGGAGAAAACTGTTTAAAAGGGTTATGTAATTAGGTATTATTGTCATGACAGGAGTCCAGAATGAAGGATGCATAGTGGAGTGGATCTGGGGGGAGGGATTGTATAACAATGAAATAAGTTTTCTTTTACTTTTCAAAGAGAAGAGTGAACTGGGGGGGGGGGGACAGGGTGAAAAGTGCAACAATGAACGAATGGAAATCCAAAGTCTCTGTAAATTTTCATTAAAATTAATTTAAAAAAATCTAAAAAATTTTAAAAAAGAGGCAAGGGGGTCATGGTAATTCAACAATCATAAATTGAGCACTTGGTGGATACTCATCATTGGACTAGGTCTCAGAGACATACCAACAGCAACACTGACTGTCAGGGAGATCTCACTGTCCTAATCTGTGGTGTCCTGTCTCAAGCGGTGGGTCTGATTTGTTGAAATATCCTTTATGATTATGTTCCCTGATGTATTTTCCAGAACAGGAAACGTGGGTAGCCTGAACAGCTGGAGGAGAGAGAAGAGAGGAGACAGGCTTCCTTGGTCTGGCATGTTTAGAAGGAATCACCGTCCTTTCCTGTAATGGACAGCAGCCTGCAGAATGCTTTCCAGTGAATGAACGGCATCATGTCTGAAGTTCTCAGCTAGCCTTGAGGAGGGCATTCAGTTCTAGAGCTGGCCAATCACGGACACTGGCCAATCAGCCACAGGGCGAGCCTTTCCTGTCTCTCATTCAAACAGGACATTTCAGTTAGCCACTCGAGATGCAGACCACAGTCTCCTTCCCTCCTACAAGATGTACAAGACCTTCCTGGTCTCTTGGTTGTGGTGACCAGACTAAGGCAGTTCAAACCAACTAACTTATCCTACAACTTTCCTCTGTGTGACATTCTGATTGAGACTCCTGGCTGACCCACGTTCTTTTTATCCTTTTCTTTCTTGTCCTGTCTGCCATCCTATTTGAAAGGAATAATGATTACAAGAGGAAGAGGCAAGGGGAAATGGAGGAAAGAACATATTCAATCAGTTAGCACTTGGAGAATAAACGAATGTCTTCAGTCAATTCCAACCATGGTGACCTGCATTGGGTTTCTAACGTGGGAAACCTTAACGAAAGCAGATGACTTCAGCTTTCTCTTGTAGAATAGATGGTGGGTGTCAATGGCTGACCACTTGGTTAGCAACTCAATACATAATCCACTACATCACAAGAGTAGAAAAGACTGTAAAAATATGAAAGGTGACTGACCACTTGAGCCCATCTTTCCACTGAAGCAAGCCCTAAAATTACTGTAGGAGAGTCTGCTTCAAATAAACATTAACAAAACAATTCAGGAATACTGTGCAAAAGC